CCCCACCTCAGCAGTCCTGGTCATGCCCATCCCGTCCCCACGTGCTGGTGGGGAGCCAAGCCAGGACCAAGCGGAAACAGCAGAGAAATATCACTACAACAAACGGGCTCGTTTCCTGCCAGAAGGCTCCTCGGGCACCCACAGGGTCACGCAAGCGCCCGCAGGATGCGGCCCCGGCACAGACCTAGACATTTCACCACACAGGGAAAGCTCAGCCCAGGCTGCTGGGTCCTGGACCAGAGCCCCCAGGTGCTCCCCACTCCCTGCAAACCTGGCTGCTACGTGAAAAACAAGCCAAGAGCTGCCACTGCCAGGGCTTCCAGCCTTGCGAGCAGATGGGAAGCAGGGACTTCACTCGACTCTGGATGGTTCTCCAGATTCCGGCTGCTGGGAAGCAGTTACCCAGGCCATGACAACATCGCTTCATTTCCTGCAGCACCAAGCAACAGCAGCGGCAGAAAGCAGGGCAGCACACGCAGCACTCCTGCCCAGCCTTCTCCCTCGCAGCCAGGCCACGTAATCGTGCCCCGAACCAGCTCCGTCGCGGGCAGGGCGATCCGGCGAGGCAGGGACTGTGAAGAGCGGCAGTGTTAGTTTACACAAGGAAAGCGTTAGAAGCTATTTGTCATCGGTGACGGGCCCGGGGGGCAGAGGAGAGACTTGGGAAGCTGTGCCAAGCACCAAGGGCTGGTAGTGGGCAAGGACAGCAGGCAGAGGGGTGTCAGGGTTGGGTCAGGCATGGATACCCCTCCCCAAAGATGGATACCCCTCCCCAAAGATGGCTTACACATTATCTGAAGTATCCATCAGCCACGTCTTCCAAATAAAACACAACACAGTTACATCAGTCCGCCTGATCGCTCCCGTGATTTATTTTCCCCCCCCCCCAAGCAGGCCTGGCTGCTTTTTGCTTTGAAGATCCAGGGAAATGCGTTCATCGTGACTTGCCTGCTTTGTGTCTGGATTAAAGGTTGCATAGCAGCAGGGAGCAAGCACTCAGCTCCCCCACAATCAACCAGAAGAAGCTGCACAACTTGCCTCATCCACACAATGAATATTCCAAACCGAAGCAAAACCCCACAACATCATTTCCTCGTCATTACAAACAGCAAAGACCGGAACAGCCACATTTGGTTTCTACGTTAAAAGAGACTCCTCAGCCACTTTCACGTGCTTTTTTTTCACCCTACGCACACTTGGCAATGGTGAGCGAAGCGCATAGGGTGGGGGGGGAGGAATTTGTCCCTTAGAGTGACAGCCCCACGCCAGAAATAAAAAGCAAGATGCAACTTACTGCTGACCCTGACAGCTCTCCCCAGCCAAGCAGGGGCCACGTGCGGAACAGAGAACAGAAAACCTCCCGGGAAAGTGAGCTGCGCAGCAAAACCCGCTGCCGCTTCCCATCACGCATGTTGAATCCTCTTCCTCCAACGCGCTGCTCGTAACCCATCTCAGCGTGACACAAGGGTGGCCCCCCTCCTGCCTCGCCCCGCCCCCCAGGCTGCCACAACACCTCCCACACAACAGCTGTGTCCCCGTCGTGTCGCCTGTGTCACTCGGGGCTCCAGCAGCCCCAGGGTCACCCCCAGGCTCACCTTTCCAGTGCTCATGCAGCTCCAGCCCAGCCTGGCTTCTCCCCACAGGGAGGCTACTCAGCACAACTGCCCCCCAGTCCCCACGGCTCCCACCCCAGCTGTGCTGCCCCA